GGATGTGTGGGCACATGTCCAGAGGTGGGCCCTGGGGGTCTTCCGCTTGGGTTCTGGACCTGGAGTTACCATTTGCAAATTAGTAGCCTTGGGCAGGCTACTGGAACCAAGCCTAGTTTTCCCATGTGTAGAAGTGGGAGCAGTTAGTAACTGTCCTCTAGGGCATGGCTGTGAGTGTCGCAAAGACCAGGCTCCACGCCTCGCAGCCCAGCACACGCTGGCCGTGAGAGTCAAGGCCTGGGTCGAGGCCCCCCAGCCTCACCTGTAATCTGGAGAGAGCCCAGTCCTCTGGCACAGCTGCTGGGATTCAGCGGGAATGTTTCTGTGAGCACAGATGCTTGCTCCCTGGCTCACAGGTGCCCTTAGCCTGACCCGGGCACTGGCCACAGTCACCCTGTGCTCCCTGCTGGGACTGCGCTGGTCACACTTGGGCAGAGTGGCAGGCAGGGGAAGCACCTGACCCACTCGGGGGACAGTGACAGAAGGGCAGGAGAAGTGAGATCAGGGAGATTTTTCTAGAAACCGTCCATACAGGATAGGGCTGAGTTTTTGGAAGTGATGGGCTGGACCAGGAGCAGGGGCCGATTTTCAGGAAGGGCGAGTTCCAGTTCTGGTTAGCGAATGAGGGGAGGCCAAGCTGCAGGAGGGCTTCAAGGCTGGTGGGGGTTCCACATCCCTGCAGGGGGGACAAGGAGAATGGATTGCAGCGGGGATGGGGGGGCACGAGGGCGATGGGCGGGAGCTGGGGGCTGGGGGCTTCCTTCGCCCCCATGGATGCCTGGAAGCCAGGCGTCCCCGAGTTGCTCAGGCCTCCTAAGCACAGAGGACATTGCTCCAGGCCTGGCCGTCTGCGTGCGAACTCGGTCAGCGGTGAGGCTGGGAGCAGGTAGCCTTCATCTGCAACTGTGTCTCTCTCAGCCTCCACAGCCACGGGACAGGCTGGACCCCAAGACTGGAGCCTGGGCCACCCCCAGACCACCCTCTGATTGATGGACTTCGCTGGCTTGGGTCGCGAGCCCTGAGACTCGGGGAACCATGGAGCCTTCAGCGCCGGCTGGGGGTCTGGCTGGGGCACCTACCTCACAGGGCTGTTGTGAGGGTATCACGATGCTGTTCCCAAGCGCTGGGCTTGGCAACTCCGTTGTGCTCTCAATAAATGTGTTTCCTGTCTTAACCCAAATGGTGGCGGGTGTGCTCCTGCTGTGAACAGGCTGCGTGTGGGTGTCCTGTCTTGCTGGGCCTTCCTTTGCTTGGGGACATGTGATGTGGGGAGGGAAGGAGGGCAGCTTCAGCCCCAGGGAGATACCTGTCCCCTACCCTCTGGGCATGCAGGGTGACAGGGTGCACTTGAGCAGAGCTGGCCTCGCCCCTAGCTGGTCTCCTTCCAGTGGTCTTGGGATGCCAGGATTCTTTCCGGAAAGGAGTGTGGAGTGAGAGGTGGAGACCCAGAGGGCTTGGAGCTGTGCTTGCCACCTGGGTCCCTGACCTCTTCCTCTTCTTCCTCACCTTCCCAGGGCTGGGCCAAGACAGGTCAGGCTGACTGATGACAGGGGGTCTGAGAGGCTCCAGGCCCTGGGCCAATGCTCTTCCCACACAGTGGCTCCTTAGTAGGGCCCAGCGGGCTGCAAAGGCAGTGCCTTGGGCCACCCTGCCACCGGCCGGAGTACTGGCCAAGGCTGGGGGTGAGCCTTGCACCATGACTGACTGTGACTGTGACCATCAGGAGGGTCAGGCTGTCTGTCAATGGCCTGTGGCTGGGCTGAGTGGGCAAAGGGAGCAAGGGACGGGGCCCTGGACCTGAGTTCAGGTGACCTCTGGTCCCCACACCTGGCTCTCCTGGAGCGGACGACCTGGCCTGCTTCTCTGGGGAGGCAGAGGCTGCCCACTGATGCCACACATCCGGTGCCACAGCCACTGCTACCACCATGGCTAGTACCACCACCATGCCACGTCCACTGCCACAACCACCTCCACCGCCTCGTCCTCTCTCTTCTCCTCTCTCTTCCTTCCTCCTTCTGTCTTTTCCTCCTCTTCCTTCTCCTTCCTCCTCCCCCTCCCAGGAGTTTCCTCGAGAGAACGACAGGCGAGTCCAGCAGTCATGCAGAGGACTGGACGGCCCCTCTGCCGAGAGAAAGAGCCACCTGGGAACTCGACCTTGTCCCTGCAGGAGGTGATGGCATGGACGGTGCTGAGAGATGGTCCAGGCAGCTGTGAGCAGGGCGGGGGTGCCTCCACGTGCCCTTCCCAGCCACGAGGGCTACGAGTCCAGGAGTCCTGTGTGGTGAGCTGAGTGCAGCCTGCGATGACTCTCAGGCATCCAGAATGAACCCCCTGATTTTCCAGAGTCGGGACCTCAGCTCCGTCCTCTGATGCACCATGAAATGGGTGAGGGCTCCACGATGTTCCAGCCATAGAACCTGAGCTCCGGCCGCTGGGGAAGCCAGACACTCGGAATGCCGTTTCAGAGACAGGACCCAGTCTAGCCTTGACAGACCTTGGGCATGCAGGGTGAGCTAACTGCTTTGATGTTTCAGACCTGGGAGACCCCAGCTCCAGCTTTGGCTGAAGTTCAGGTGCTCAGAACAAGGGACCTTCTTGACATTTTAGAGCTGGGACCCAGCTTTGGCCTCTGATGAAGCTCAGATGTACAGAGAGAAAGACTTCTAGAGCCTGGACCTGGCTCCAACACCCACAGAAGATCAGATATTCAGAAAGAGGAGCCTCCTTGATGTTCAAGGGTTCCAGTATTCCAGGCCAAACCTCTGGTGTGACTCAGTATCTAGAAAAGTATCTAGAAAGAGGGACCTCCTTGATATTCAAGAGCTGGGGCCCAGCTCTAGCCTTCAGTAACACTCAGATGTCCAGAAAGGAGGATCTCCTAATGTTCTAGAACTGGGACTCCAGCTCTAGCCCTTGATGAAGCTCAGGTGTTCAGAATAAGGAACATCCTTGATGTTCTAGAGCTAGGACCCAGCTCCAGCCTCCACTGAAGTGCTGATGTCTAGAAAGAGAATTTTCTTGACCTTCTAGAGAAGGGACCCTGCTCGAGCCTCCAGTGAAGCTCAAATGTCCAGAAAGAGGGACCTTCATGACATTCTAGTGCTGGGACATGGCTCCAGACTCAGACAAAGCTCAGATGTCCAGAGAGAGGGAGCTCCTTGGCATTCTAGGCCCAGGACCCACCTCTGAGCTCTGAAAAAGTTCAGTTGTCCAGAGAGAGGGACCTCCTTGACATTCTAGGCTGAGACTCCAGCTCTGGCTCTGACAAAGCTCAGGCATTCGGAACTGACAGGAAGCCTCAGGCTATGGGCCCGCCGGGGCAGCTGCTGCCGATGGCAGAGGACATTGCTGCCCCCTCGCAGCTGGCAGCAGGTCTCAGTAGCAGCACTAGCGTGGAAGGGGTTACAGTCACCCCAGTGCAGATGAGGGGGCTTTGCGGCAGCAGAGAGAGCCCTAGGGAGAGCACACAGCAGCAGCCATGCATCGTCACCAGGCGCCATGGTGAGGCCCACACGGGAGTGGACGGCTTTGCTGCAAAGTGCCATTTTGTGCCTTTGCATTGTGCTAGACTCATGGCTGGCCTGCACCAGCCTTGACCCTCGGGGCTGCCAAGTTGGCTGGACCCTGGAGTGTAACCCAAGCCAGTGCCTACAGCTTAGCTGCCCTCCCGATGGAAGATGCTAACGCCCCCTCGCCAGCCCTGCGCCAGCCTTGTGTGAAGCCGCGGCCTTGCAGCTGGTCGGGCCTGGTCGCCACCTTCTAGCAACGGAAGTTTCGTCAAGATTGAGGCTGGGATAGGGCCAGGCTGTCACGAAGGGCGTGAGGACAGCACAGGCAGCAAAGGAGGGCCACAGACACGTGAGACATGGAGAGTCGCGGCCCAGATGGAGCTGGAGGCCTGCCTGGAGCACCTTGCTGGCGGCTCTTGTCTTCCAGGACCTGCGGACACCAGACTGCCCACGGTGCTGAAGTGGTGGCACCTAAAGATGGAAGGCCCCAGATCGTGACCAGCCCCGGAGCGTAAGGCAGTCGTGAGAAGAGGCCGTGTGACGAGGAACGCAGACAGGTCCTCTGGATGTGCGGACTCAGGATCCCGACGGGGGCCGAGAGCCCAGGTCGTCGGTAGTGCCGTTCAGAGACAGCTACAGTGGCACATGTTCTAGAAGGTGGCTTGTTTTATTCAGCAGAGTCTGGAGGAAAAGGGAGAAGCTGGCGAGAGTTCTTCAGACACATGCCGTAACGCTGCCAGTATCATTTTGGTGCTATTTCCTGGAAATTCATTAGAATTTGGAACTGTGCACACAAGAACCTCTTGAATGAGGAACTGGGACTGAGGCGCAGACCGGAGCAAAGGAGAAATGCCGTCTTAGAGGACTGCCTGCAGCCCCACCCGCCCTCAGTTGGCCAAGTTGCTTTAGGAGACTTCCAAGAACAGGACGTTACTAGAAGCACTCCTCGCTAAGCTCCTAGAAGTCCCCACAACAGGTTCCGAAGCCAAGTGCAGCACCGGAGAGCCCGCCCTGGGAGTTCTGTGAAGACGATGTGAGAGCTGCTTGGTTGAGTCCTCAGCCTCAGGAGCGGGCCCAGAGCAGGACCACAGGGGTAGAAATAACAGCAAAGACCCCTGCCCCCTGACTCAGGATAGGCTAGGGATAGCCCCTTCCTGCCCCTCCTTGGTGGGGAGTCCAGGTGGCCAGGCCCAGCCACAGTTTTTTCCTGACTCAGTTTACCCTCAGAGCCCTATTTCCCCATCACATCTCCGGCCTGTTGGGGGATGCTCTCTGACAGTGTGGGTCACCTCTCTGTGTTGCTCACCTGGTCCCTGTGGGCCCCGGGACCCTGGGCCAGGTGGTAGGCTCTGGGTGACCAGCCCCGAGGCGTGGTGAGCTTCATGGATGGTTGTCACTTGGCAAAGTGGAGGGAGCTGAACCATTCCTGGGGAGAGGAACACCATGGGCTTCTTCCTTTCGGGAGGGGGCTATGCTGGGCCCCAACTTTCCCTGATGCTCCCAGCTCAGCTCGTAGAGGACTTGGGGAACGAGACGCCTTGAGCTCCCATTCTTCCAGAGGACTGTCATTTCCCCTCTTACCCGCAGAGCAGCTGCCATTTCCGAGCTGGGGCTGGAGAGGGGCAGGGGCAGGCGGGTGTGTGGACAGCTTTCTCTCAAGCTCTCCTAAATTGGAGGGAGGACTGTTCTCGGGAGCTTGCCAGCCGGGAGGAGGTAATGCCCCAGTCATGTCCCCCCCGCCCCCCCCACTTCTCAGAAGACACTTTGGCCTCCCTGCCACTTCGCCTTCCCCGCCAAGGATCCTGTAGAGCATTTTATTAGTTTGGAATGGAAATCCAGCTCAGGCCTCAGGGCGGGGAGGCCCCCGGGAAGTCAGCAGACAGCGAAGTCAGCAGACAGCCGCAGAGCCTCCGCAGAGGCAGGGCTGTGAACGCCAGTGGTGGGGGTGGAGGTGAGTAGGGAGGACGGGGTGGGCAGGGATGGAGGGCAGGACAGCCGCCAGCTAGCTCAGCCAGCTAGCTCGGAGCGTCGGCCAGATTCAAAGCAGATGCTACAGGACTGATGAGCACAGGAGGGGAACCCCCACTCCTGGCCCCACGGAGACACTGACTGCATTGACTGGGGTCATTCCACAGCTTCCCGGATGGCCTGCGGTCCCAGGGTGGCCTTGCTGCTACCTACGGGCATCTCTGGGCAGACTCCCTTGCACCCCAAATTGTCCCGAGAGGGGTGGGTTCTTGGGTGGTCCTTGCAGGTGTGGCTTGAGCACCTGCTGTGTGCTGGCTGCTGGCAGTAAGGCAGAGGTGCTGCAGAGCTGCAGGCAGTGTCTGCAAGGGTGTCCCGGGCCCCAGCTTTTTTGGCGGGGGAGGACTGATGGGTGGGGGTGGGGCTGGCAGGGGGTCTGGAGCAGTACCTCTATGCCTGCACTTTTCAAAGCACTTTACCTGTCTGCTTGGCGTTGGCTGGTGGTGGAAGCGTGAATGCAGTGTCTGTCTGGCTGAGGGCAGAGGTCCTTTGGGGACTCGTGAGCGTCTACTCAGGGACTGGGATTCCCTCTCCTAGAGCCAAGAGGAGCCTTCCCGGAGATGCCAAGGCTGGGGGTTTCAGTGTGCAGCAGCCGGAGGGCCACACTGAGGGAGGAAACCTTGGCCCTGACTTCTCCCTC